TCAACAGAAATACACTTTTTGGAGTCCTGATACTGAAAAAAAAGTGTTTTTCTTACAAACGTTCATACATCTGAGAACAATTAGCTCCTAAACTATTTGTAAGATATTTTCCAAAATACATATTTCCTGGTCGATCTGGCTTCACTTGAAGCTCTGCAAGTATTAAAAACATTCCTTAATTTTTTGGGGTACTTTACATGAAGCCCCTACAATATTTTCAAAATTTTCCCAAGAACAGCTACAATTTTTTCCTTTAATTTTCTTGTAGTGGCACATGTCTGATTTTCACTGTTAATGCTGTGTTCTTGAATATTGCAAAAGTTTGGAATTTTTTCAGGGTCTCTATTAGTACAAAATTGAAGATATTTTATCTTCAAATGAAATTTGTTCTCCATAATTATTTCTTTCATTAAGATACATTTTTTTGAAAATGTTAGTAGTTTAAGTGCAGTATCAAAAACAAGAATATCTCAAAAACTCTCCAAATTTTGTCTTTAAACTTTGGGTAGAGATACTGCTAAACATTCTGTATAAGAAATTTATCAGAAGCATTTTCAAACTGAATCTGGGACAGTCCTGTAAAGATTTCTTTATTAAATATGAATTACTGTCTGTTGTAGCACTCGGCTCCTAGAAAGTATTACTACTATTGAGAAATTTTCAGAATCAATATCTAATATTTAATAAACAGGTATATAACTATCATACTAGAGGACATAAGGAATATCATAGGATATACACTATCAAGTATTCAAGTAATAAAGATCCTATGTGCATTGCAGCACAGCTTTTTAATAATCTCCCACTTACCATAAAATCAGCTGATAATAAATACTCCAAACCACTGCTTAAATGTCACCATAATAGTGTGTGTCCTTATAAGACATCTGAAATGCTTTAAATTTTCTGGGATCAAAAACCATGTACTGCTACAAGAGTGACCACTCTTTCAATTCAATAACGCAATGTACCGTTTGTAATGTAGTGAATAATGTAATTATATGTTGTGTCATTGTAAGCACTCATTATTATTATATACATCTAATTTATTGCCTGTTAGGATTCGGTTTGACCCCACATTTTACACAGTAGTTTAATTTACCTGTATTTCATGCACAGATGTTATTTGGTATTATTAATTAAGAAAATGATCCTATTTATTTGCTTCACTTACTATATCATTCTAAAAAAGAGAATAATATTTCCAGAATAACATATCCTCATAACTTTACACAGGTCTCTAACATTCCTGCATGAGAATATCTGATACAAAGCTACAAATTTGTAATAGACAAATCATTTTCATCCAAAAACAATATAATATAATTAAACAGAAATGGACATGTTATAATTTTTCTCATAATTTATCCGTGTAACGTGAAATCTATTTGGAAGCATTTCTGACCCCCAGCTGTGTAATAATCTAATTACTTCAAACAAAGAAATTTTATAAAACTGAAAAGTTTACATGTGTAAAACTGGATATAGAGAGTATAGCTTAAAGGAGAAGTTTATGTGAAATTTTCAGTGTTGCAAAACCTTACTTGCACCTGGGGTTGGAAAAGTCCCTAGAGTCTACAGGTTAATAATTTATTATATTAGCAAAAATACTTTTCTAGTTCATGATTTTCAAACATGTTTCAGTACAAATACAACATAAATGATATATTTGATTGTTATTATCTGTAGTGCAACTTTTGTAACTATCACATAGTAATTGTACAATAATTATTGAAATTTTCATTTTTCCACCATTGTGGCAAGTTATTACTTCATATGATACTTCCAAAATACCATATACTTACTGGGGAGACTTAGCCAGGTCCAGCCAAATCTTTGTGTTAATTTTTTTTGGAATCCAATTAGCATTTATTTGAGTCCTTACCGCAAAAGAAAATGCTAATCATATTGTTACTGTAAATGTAAGGTCTATGATTTGTTTTCCTATTGCAAATGATAAATTGTTTTGCCCTGATGAATTACACTAAAGTTCTGTGTTGGTGAAAAGTTCTTTGCACATTTCTATTGCTTACTAGCCTGGCTCAATTTTCACATTTCTATCCAGAAGTTTCAATATTACTTTCACAACTGTTCCAAATTTGATCACGTACAGAAACAATCATATGTAAAATTGTCATTTGTGCATACTAAATACCATACCAGAATTAATTCACATTCTGATTATGTTCTTCCTTTTCTTCAGGAGTATATTTTCCTGAGTAAATTTATATTATCCAAACCAAGTCCTACTTTCATTGATCCTATTCTTATATATTACACACTAGCTTGGTTGATTTTTAAATGAGATCATACAGATCCAAACAGTATGTATGTAACAATTACTTTTTTTTTTAAAGGAAAACTATAACAAAACAATCTTACATGCATTTAAAGATATTTAATCTCATCAGAAAGTCACCAAGTACCAAAATGCTCACTTGTCAAGCATGCCTTCGAGAGGAAATCAAATTTATTTTCGTACAGCAAGGTTATTTAGATGCATATTGCAAAAAATTATTTTGCACTATAATTTTAGTTTTTATTTGAGAATCACAGCCTTTATCACTAACAGATGTTTTATTTATAAAAAAAGAATAACCTATATTTCAAGTTTACTACAAAGCTGTTCCACATATCTTTGCCTGTAATGGAGAGATTTTCTCTGAGCTCCTACCCTCATCCCTCTTCTTTCACGCAGTTTGCCATTAGGCTGCGTTAAAATTTATTTACTTATTTCACAGGTGACCTTCTAAACTATGTTTTGCAGAGGTCTTCTTCACAATTGTGTGTGTGTTTTTTCTTTGTTTTTTTAACACCATAAAGAGAAATTATCTTAGTTTACATGAGACGGGTGGAACCAGCTGATTATTTTGGGGGGTGGATCGTAGATTTTTGTTAAATAATAAATATATGTTACATTGAGTATTTATGTACTGTAGTTGTAATACTACACGATATTGTTTAAAGAATGACAATTCTATTCTAATAACTATTTAAATAAATTTTGCTAAATGAAGGATGATAAACAAAAACTCCAGGCTTTTTGGAGGGGATCATAGCCCTCATGCCCCCCCGAATAAGCCAGTGGCGTGAGATATTTTCATAAGACTTTACAGAAATCCTTTTAGGAACATCTTATGTTTTATCAAATGTGATCTTTTATCATGCATGTCAAAAATATTTTACTTGAAATATTCTCGCTAACCAGTAGTAGAAATTATCACAGTTAGGAATAAATAAAAATCAGTAAAATAAATAGAAACAATGTTATTACCGCAGCAACCCCCTAAAAATGCAAAGGTGTTGAAACAACACATGATTGGAGTATGTAGGTTTAGAATCTCGGGTGTTCTGATATTAGGACATGCTCTCTTGCAATAAGATTAAGTCAGATATACTGCAAAACTTTTCCTTGTAGTAAGTACATTTTGTACAATGTATTGAGAGTAGAAATATGAATTTAGAGATAAATAGCTAGAAATTTACTAATTTGGGAAGTATTGCCAAGGAAAAACTATTTTGAAGTTTTTATTGAACCTGAGAAAAATAGGCAACAGCAGATTTCTTGAGTATTATTACCTCCTTACTATATATTAATGAGATATTTTCATGGATTCATAGGTAAGAAGCAATGTCATCAATGCTTCAAGATATTAAATACATGACAACATTGTTACTTGAATAAGAAACCCTGAAAATATGTAATAAAATCAACTGAAGAAGGACAATAAGAAGAAACAGCATCTCTTAAACAAATCTTGGGATTTTCAAATAAGAACAGAAAGAAACAAATAAACACACTCAATTAAGAACTGATTTTTAGTAAAATAAATGATTTATGTATCTGTATTTACATACATACATGTATATTTATACAAAATTGCCACACATTACATTACATTACATTTCTTTTTCTGGATGTATTCAACCTTCTAATCGTGTTTCCTCTGAGCAGTTTTTAAACAATAGTTTCATATAAAATTTGAAAAAACTCTGAATCAGGCCAAGGCAACATTTATTATTTGTTTAAATGATTAAAGGTGGTCATCATTTTGACATATGTTTAAATGTGTTCATTTAAACATTAAAACCATCAAAAGGAAATGCCAATAAAGACATGCTGGTTAAGTTTAATAAACAAAGCAATCTCACAACAATGTCTTGAGTCGCAAATAAATCAGTCATGAGTAAAGCAGCAGTTTTCAAACAGAAAACTAATTACCAACATGCAAACAAATTTACAAAATTAGATGGTATTACTAAAATATACTTTGTTCACATAAAAGAAGAGTGGGGCCAACACTTGTACAAAACAATCAATCACAATGCTCATATGATCGTCTTCACATTAAGCAGCATTATGATGCCTTGACTAAAAAGGCTATTTAATTCAAAGGTGGCTTCACACATTCAGTGAATATCTAAGTTCCAAATAAAATTAGAATGTGGTTGACATTTTGTGATCACATGATGATGTAACCTAGGGAACAGCGAATCAGAAGCTTTGGCATTTGCACATTGTTGTCACCTAAAATTACGGAACAAATGTTAAGGGCAAACAAATATTACGAACAAATGTAACAAATGTTAAGAATAAACTTGTTACGAGTTTCTCAACATTCCTATCTTTTGTTTGTCTAGTGAGTGTTGAGAGAATGTGGCAGAGCGTGCAGTATGCAGCAGCACCGTCCCCCTCCACACCTAAATGTCAATCACATTCTAATTTTATTTGTAATATAATGAAAGCTTGCTGAATCCTGAGCAGGGTGGATAGGATGCCAAATATTTGGTGCTTCTCCCATCAGCAGCATGTTGGGCACATCAAAGGAAGCTAACATTTGATGAACACCTATGGTGCTCAACGTTGAGCGAGCAGTCATTAGTAACTCACCAAAAGTGGAGGGCCTTCAGAGTCAACAACCCTTTTTTGGCCAGTTTGATCACCCACTATGTCAATCTTTCCTTTAGCAAAGTATTCTCTCGACATTCCAAATGTAGCATTACAAAGCAGCAAAATGTGCTTTACAGTGAACTATAAATTCGGAAACAGGATCATTCTCACCATCTCCCCTCATTGTTCCCGTTATTTCTTCATTCTCAACCAACGGAAGAAACAAATTTACAAACTCTGGAGTATACGGCGGAGCAATGGCTTCTAGCACTTCAGTAACAAAATAACGAATTAATGAGATGTCTGTGTCTCCCTGCTGCCAACACTGCTTAATGTATTTCACAACCGGCACTACACAACCACGACTTAAAATGTTCACCATTCTATCAAGTAACATTTTTTTCATCTCCAGCTGAACAAGAATTTCTAATTCATCTTGCTTAGATTCAAACAACTGAATAAGTAATTGAAGAACTTTAGAGTGCAACAACAAATGGCAAGTGACAACTTCATCAAGTAAGGCTAAATGAATAGGAGTTTGTTCTGTACACAATTTGAAATAACTCGGTTCTGTAACTGTACTTTCAACCCATCTTATCACACCCACAGATACCACAGGAAACCTAATACACTGGTAAAGAATAGAAAGTTCAGCAATAAGTTCAGTTGATCCTTTGTTGATGTTACATATATCATGTACTTTCTCAATTGCTTGTATAGTTGGCTTTAATTCCTCCTTGTTGACAGTCTTCCGAGTCTGTCCTTTACGGGCTGCTGTTTCACAGACACTTGCTGCATATGCTAATAAATAAATGTACTTTGGTTTGTGCTCTGGGTTCAGTTTCACCCCAGGCTTGAATAAAGAATCTACAAGAAGCTCCAAAAACTGAGGGGTGCGAATTAAATCAATTGGAGGAGGATCTGCAGCAGAGTAATTTCGAAACAAAACTGTAATGTCAGCTGGATTGAGGGCATTTCGGGATAACATAGAAGTAAGGGCTTGGCATGCTTGGGGATACCCAGCAGCACCGTTTAATGCCATGGTGATGGGTGTAACATCATGATGATTCTGCTGAGCACATCGTGTAATTTCTTGTGATAACCTCTTCATGTTAAAACCACCACGAGCCTCTTGAGACAAGACTTGTAGGAGCACTTGGCTGTAAACATAGGTATGCTGCCCATGACATACCATTTTGGAGCACTCCTCAACGGTGCCTTGCCAGTCTTCAGTGTTTTGCAGGAAACCAGAAATGGAAGTTTTTAACACCCTAGAAAATACTTCAATTTGTTGGGCAGCTGTCGAAATGCTAGTTATTTCCCCTTGATAACCAGCATCTGAAATCAACTTTATGGTGAAGTTAAGCATCAGACAATCAGGATACTCTTCGGCTAATCTATATATAAGGGACCTCCAAGTAGGATGTTCAATCATTTCTGTCAACCATGCAGGTGTCTCTCCTTCCTCAGTAAAAATAGTATCTGCTTTCTTAGGATCAAAGGTTTTCAATATCATGTCCTTCAGGTGGTTTTCTACCATGGCTTGAACATCTGTGACTTTAACACCACCTAATATCAACCATTCAGCGAGCAGATTTGCCATTTGTGCCACTGCACTGTAATTTTGTGACAGCAACTCAATAACTTGTTCTGGATTACCTCCCGCCTGGAAATACCTTTTCAACTGAGTGAATATTCCTGGTTCCATAATATAATCATGAGTACTAAATTTCTCTAAACATTCATCAAGTACTTCTTGTGCATTTTCCACTTGTTCTTCTCCCCCTTCTCCATCTCCATCATCCGCGTCTGTGTCCCATCCTCTGTTTTCCCCGTAATTATCCTCCATTTCGTTTCTGTTAATGAAAATTAATGAAAGTTTGAAAGTGATTTCAAATCGTGATCAAACACGGCTTCGCCACACTCCCAATCTCAACACGACAGTGTATCATACGGTCACAATTTCAAAAATTGTTCTTGAATTCAAAATTGATGATCGTTGATAATCCACTGACGTGACTGACATTCACACAACATTTACAACATTCTCATTACTCTCTGATCCACAGAATATGAAACAAGATACGAAACTACTGTTGATATGGTATCAGTGTTACCATCTACTGTGCAAACGAGTAATGAACAAATACCATAGTAGAATATTCTTTCATGAAACTACCCAACATTATATTGTTTTTGAAAGAGAGCAGGTGTGTTTAGTCGTAATTACTGCCGATTAGTGGTGGCATCTGCATGATACGTTTCCCTCCGTTTCTTTCCAGGATTTGCAATTGGAGGTATTGAGCTACCTCCGGTCGGTTCTTGACCGCGAAATTCAAATATATCACATTTTGAAATTCGTATATTTCCCTGAACCATTAATAGTAACAAGCCCATGGTTCGATAAGCTACAGACGTATCAAGCTATTTGTTGAATAGAATTGCGATAGGCATTTCTAATAAACAAATTCGATGTGTGAGGACAGTACCCTTCGGAGACGATGTTACTCTGGTTAGGGCCTACCCGTCGAGCGTTGTAAAATATATACGCATATAGATCGCTACGCATGACCATTGCTTATGTATAACCACAGAGTAATGATATATCTCTTTAGTCTATGGTATAACTTCCCACGTATAGGATTGCTAACACGATGTTCGTATTGTATTATTTATCATGAAATAATAAGTCATAAGAAGTATGTTTCACACAAGGTTTTGCAGAGCTAAACATAATCAAAGAGAAACAGTGTTTGGGTTACTATAAAAGGTTGTGGTATGACTCGAATCTGGAAAAGGCAAAAATAAGTAACTATGAAATATATAATGTAGATCCGTTGACAATGAATGAATTAGTTGATTCGCCTAAAGCTAAAAAATCAAAAAGCGCCAGGTCTTGTTGAGATTAATCTGGAATTAATTAAATACGCCTATATCTCATTAAAAATTATATGTATTATGTAATTATATGTATTGAATACTTGTTGGGAGACTTGTGCAATTCCAGAAGAATGGGCAACAGCAAAGGTAATATCACTATTCAAAAAAGGGAATAGAAGTAAACTAGAGAATTATAGAGGAATTACTTTGTGTCATACAAGATATGTACTAAAATTATTAACAGCAGATTAACAACTCTTCTAGACAATATATGTTTAGAAGAACAATGTGGATTTAGACTAGGAAGATCATGTACATCATACATTCTCCATTAATGTGCTTATACAGAAGAGGGTAGAATTTAATCACGAAACTCATATTACTTTCATAGATTATGAGATAGCCTTCGAGATGGTGCATTGACATACGATATGGAAGATAATGAATAAAAGAGGCATTCCACTACATTTAATTGAAGTAATCAAATCCTTATACCACAGAACTGTAATTGGATTTAAATGGAAAACTATTTGAGAAATTTAAAATTGATTGAGGTGTTAGACAAGTTTGTGGCCTATTACCTAGTGTATTTAATATTTATAAAAACAACGTTCTGAGAGAATGGAAACAGTGTATTACAGATGGCATCGAGATAAACTCTGAAACCACTCTAAATACTTTATTGTTTGCTGAAAATCAGATAATTATCCAAGAAAGTGAGGATCGGTTACAGAGGGCTAAACTAAATAACGTATGTGAACAATATAACTTGAGAATCTCAACTCAAAAAACCATAGAGGTGATTAGAGGCAAATATGCTACAAGAAGCAAGATAATAAGCTAAATAAATAATAAAATTACAGAACAAGTTAGTCATTTTAGATATTTGGGATGTGATATTACTTTTGAATTCAATAAATATATTTCAATAAAAACCCAAAGACTCCAAAACATCTGTAGAACAATAATAAAATGTCAGAGAAAGAAAACAAGAGAGGAAACACTACTTAAATTTTATAAAACAATGGCTATCCCCATACTTTTTTATGAGTGTGAGACATGGACCAAGAAAAAGAAAGATTTTACTAGAGTTCAGATGTCTGAGATGAGGTTATTGAGACAAGTCAAAGGCTGCACCAACATCAACACAGAGTGAGTACTGACCACATCCCAAAACAAATATATCACTCATGGTAAATATATCACTTCATGGTAAAAGGATGTCAGCTGTCCAAGATTAAGATGGCATGCTGAAGATGGAACAGGAGAAGAGATGATGAAGAAGTAAGTGTATAATTTAACCAGTCATTAATAATTTACTGTACTGTGCACCAATTTTGTATTATTATTATTATTATATACATTACATTATATGTATAATATATATATATATATATCAATCTGCAAAATGAATTACAAATCATGATTATAATTTTGCATCTAATTACATTAGCTGTTATCTAACAGCCGTCTAAAATACATTTTTTGAAGTCTTATCAATTTTCGGTTTCTTTGTGTTCAGATTTCAAATATTACTTTTAAAATATGAAAGAATATTTATCTCGTTGTATATGGAAATTTTCGTTGAAAAATTTTGAGCCGTTTTTAAGGAGATGGCATGTGTTGCTGTGAACGCAAAATTTGAGGCTCTTTTTCACAGCAAAATTTTGAGTTTTCGAGGAACTTCATTAGAAATCATTTGAAGCACATTCAATCTCAATTGCAACAATGTATACAAATTGCTGGAAATTTGCATATTAACGGCGTGAGAGATATTTAAAAAAATACATTTGTGTAATTTTTGAAAAAAAAACAAAAGAATCCAGCAAAATTAATTTTATGTCGTCTTAAACAGTCCAAACTATCCGTATGAAAAGATTGAAGAAAAAATTGGAGCATTTTTTGAGAAAATGGTGTTTGAGTGTTTCTGAAAATGTAAAATTTTGAGCTTGTTTTCACAGAAAAGTTTGAATTTTGCGTTAAAACATATTATTTAAAGTTTGGTACTTTTAAATGAAATAACGCGAATATAGTGCCGCTAATGTAAATATTAACGCGAGAAGCTATTAAATAATTGCATTTTTGTAATTTTTGAAACAACAAATAGAGCAATAACTCGTTTATGTCATCTTATAGTGTATATTTAGTACTATCCATTGCAAATGTTTAAAGAAAAACTTTGCAGCCGTTTTGAGAAAATCTAGTTTTGGTTATTTTTTAAAATTGCACATATTACACGCAATATTGCGCGAAAACTACTCTAATTTTTACAAACATGCACGTAATCTTGAGAGAACTAAATATGGAGCAGAAATTACATTCGAAGGAAAAATATCGATCTTCAAATTTTTTAGTAGTAGGAAGACGCCGAAAAAATTCAACCTTTTACAATTATCGAAAATTCAGAGTTAACAGTGGAAATCGGACCCATGCCACCTTTATACATGTATTTTACTTTATTATTACAAGAAATTTAAAGAAAAAAATGAGCCAATATTGAGAGAATTTTGAAAATGTGGCTGGAGCGTATAAGTATCCCCAAATTTTAAAGAATGTTTTTGAAAATCGTAGCAATTCAAGTCCAGCCAGATTGATCGGGAAATATACATTTTGGGAAAACCCTACTTATGAGAGGCGCTAGAAGTGTTTTGCAGACGGACGTTTTGAAAAAAAAAATCTTTTTCGGTATCAGGGGACCCCAAAAGTATATTTCCATTAAAATCTCGTAATCGATTTTCTGCAGCATCACATAACTTTCCTTACCCTACGTATACTACTCCGTATACGAGAAAGTAAAGTTTGTGCCATATTTGAGAAAATTTTGAAAATGTCTTCACGTAAAGTACACCCCAGAATTAAAGATTTTTTTTCAAAATCGCAGAGCCTTGAGTGGAACTAGATCGATTGAGGTGTGTTCAGTTTGGAAACCCTACTGATAGTTTGGGCGTTAGTGTTGTTTACAGACGACAGATGGACAAATCGATAGACGAATGGATATTTTGAAAACAAACAACAAAGATTTTTCGGCATCGGGGAACCCAAAACGTTTATTTCCGTGAAAATCTCGTAATCGATTTTCGACAGTATTATGTAACTTAACACTACCTAAATTACTCTGTAAATACGTACGTATACGAGAAGTAACTATTGGTGTTACAGAATGACACATACTTTCTCGTACTAGTTCGATTTATAATTTCTTTGGTCTGGTCTAGCATTTCGATCTTGCCCTATCTTCGTCCAATCTGCCATCTATCGCCGCCCAAAGTATGTTTTTCAATTTTTCTGGTCTCTAATGGTAGAACTGACACATGACTTTCAAAATATTATAGAAGAGTACAACATCACTCCATATGGATATTTATGTTGCAAATTTTGGAGCCTTTTTTGAGAAAATATTGTTTGAGCATTTCTGAAAACACACATTATGAAGCTCATTTGCACCCAAAATGTTTGAATTTTCGAGGAACTTCATAAGAAATTATTTAAAGTAATTCTGCATAATGTTTACAAATCGCTCGTAGAGCCAACATAAATATCAACGGTGCGGCGGAAGATAAAGTGGTGGGAAAAGCAGCCACCGTAACCAGAGGCAGGAGCGAGTTTGTGGTGTTGACGTCGCCTTCAGTGTATAAGGGGCGACGGGGACGGAGTAGCACTACTCTATTGAGATGTAGCTCAATGTAATAAGTGTCTATTATAGTGATTGTGCCTATTCTGACCGCGCCTCGGTATATTGTTAGTTCTGATTGGATATTGTTTATGACTTTGGATTCCACAGGTAAATCTCCTGGCGACGACGACCGTGCTGTTACATCTTCTGGTAAACACGTTTTGTGCACTGTATTGGTACGATTTGGAATTAGGCTTGTAATAATAAACTACTATTGTTGATATACTTGTTGGTGTATTTTTCTGAACATAACACCCATAACAAGACCTACCATCTATTTCATCTTCAGATTATTCAGACTGTCGTGAAAGTCAGACTACCGTGACTTTAGTGAAATGGACGTAACTGATTTCTCCAAAGAAGCAAGAAGATCTCAGTTGTTCCATCAAGAAGAACTTAATGATTTGGTGCAAGTTCTTGGCTTCTCAAAGGAATCGGCGCAAGTTTTAGGCTCACGGTTGAAAGATAAAAATTACAGGTATCGAAAGAGAGAAGAGCGCCTTGATTATTTCATGAAAGAAGAGCAGTTTGTTTACTGCAACAACATTTATGATAAGCTTTCAAAATTTAAAATGAGATACATAAGTGATCATTGCAGATAGTTTTTAGATTCATTGAAACGTAGCCTCAAAGCTGTTTTGTTTGATAATGGAAATCAATTTGCGTCAGTGCCCGTAGTTTATTCTGTTTATATGAAGGAAACATGCGAAAGTGTGGAAGACCTTGTAAAAAATAGAACACCATTGTTGTTTTTTTCGGAGGCTTGAAAGTTATTGAATATTGTTGGGGCTTCAACTAGGTTTTTTTTGGTTCTCCTGCTTTCTGTGTGAATGGGATAGCAATATTCGTAAATTGCACTGGGCTGAAAGGTAGTCAGAAATACTTTGAATCCCGGAAGTAAAAATGGCATAAGAAATTTGGTTAATCGTGAAAATATTATTTTGCCACCTATCTGTCAACCTTGGTATAATGAATCAATTAGTCAAGTCTCTGAATAATATTGGAAAATGCTTTAAATATAATATTTGTTCAAAATTTCCTTTTCTTTCAGAGGCCAAGCTTAAAGAAGGTATTTTTGTGCGACCTCAAATTAGAAAATTCATGAAAGATGAACACTTGGAATCTATAATGAGTGATGAAGAAGGACTAGACTGGTCAGGTTTCAAAACTATCTCCGTGAATATTTTAGGGAAAAAAAGAAAAACATCCAGATTTCAAAACTGGTGGATGAAATACTTATTGCTGTGACGAATTTAGAATGTAAGGAACATCAAACTTCATTTCTTCCATAAGCACCTTGATTTCTAGCCCGACAATTTGGGGGTTTCCAGTAATGAACACGGAAAGAAATTTCATCAAGACCTGAAAGACGTGGGGTATCGTTATCAGAGCAGTGATGATAGCAGATTGATCCTTAAAAAGAGACATAAAATGACACAAAAGAGACATAAAATAACATAAAAGACAAAATGAGTTTAAGATAACAAAATTAATTTTGCTGTGTTCTTTTATTTTTTCATAAAAAAACACAAAGTAATTAAAAAAACGACAAAAAACTCACGCCGTTGATATGCACATTTCCATAAGTTAGTGTAAATTATTGCACTTGAGTGGAAGTGCTTCAAATGACTATTTAAAATTTATCGAAAACTCAAACAATTTTTGTGAAAAGAGCTTCAAATTTCGCATTTACAGTTAAGCTTAAAAGTCATTTTCTAAGAAACGGCTCCAAATGTTTCATTGGATATTTCCATTTAGAGCGTATTTTTACCCTTCTTTTAAATTCTTGAAGTAATATATCAGTTCTACTATTCGGAAACCGAAAAATTGAGAAAATGAAAAATAGTACTTTAGGCGAAAATAGATGGCAGCCGGCATGGGCATGTGGCAAGTCAGAATATCTAGTCCAGACCAAAGAAAATAGAAAACTAATACGAAAATATCTGTGCCATTTATAGCACCACTAGTTTGTGATTTGCAAACGAGAGTTTTGCTGCGGCAAATTTTGGCAAACGATGTGTTAAGTTTCATCATTTGTGGATTTTTTCGGCCAGCGTGATTTTGTCACGGAAAGGTAGGTTTTGGCTGCTAATTTTTTGTGTGGGAGGGCAAACAAAACTTAAATTACGCAAACAGTGCGCCAAGTTTCGTCAAATCCTTGACTTCGTTTTGTCCATGTGAATTTAGCTCGCAACTATTTTCCTACATCTTTAATATTGAATCTAGAGTTCTTGTATGTGGGAACTTGGCATTTGAGAGTCGGATTCACCGAACTTTTACCAGCTAGCGATGTTCTTAGGCTTGGGCCGTTTTTACTTTCTCGCTGCGGTCTGGAGAGAAAACATGCTGTTGTATACAGTTGCTGGATGTTACTTGAACTAAAAGAGTAAAATAGAAGTAAAATTATAGAAGTGTGCTAAAGGGTAAATTGGGTTAATATCAAATGTATTCAGTATTACGATATATATTCTGCTTTGCAGATGGCCACCGTTAAAATAGCAGTGCTGTTGAGGAAAATTAAAAGGACTACCCGTGGTCGAGATATCAACCGGATAAGTTTCTTAAGAGTTTTTATTGAATTATGTATATATGGACAGTCGACTGCATTACT